GTGTCTTCCTTGGTTTCCCCCTGGACTCGTCTGACTAGCTCTTCTACCACCCGCAGTCTCACCGCTTCCTCCACTCTCGTGACGTCACCTTTGACGAGTCCGTCTCCTTCTACCGTCGCTTCCCTCACCGAGGTCTCCCGGTTTCCCCCCCCCCTGTTCCTTGCCCCCTCTCCCCTGGTAGCCCCTCCTCCCCTCCTGCCTCCTCCTGCCCCGTCTGGGGTCTCCTATGCCACTCCCCTCCCGTCAGTTGTCCCTGTTGAGGAGTCTGCTGACTCTGGTGGTCCCCCCGCCCCGCCTTTGCCGCGTCCCCCTTCCCTGGTGTCTCCACCCCCGCTGTCACAGTCGCCGTCGTCGTCGCCGCCGCCGCCGCCGCTTCCGCTCTTGGCCTCTGGGGGTGCTGGCGCTGAGGAGGGTGTTTGTCCTGCGGCTCCTGGCATGGTCTGTCCCGGCGGGCCTGGGGGTGCCGCTGGGGCTGGAGAGGGTTCTCGCTCTGGGGGTGTTGGTTCTGGGGGTGCTGCTGTTGAGTGTTCTCCCGGAGGTCGTCGTGCCCCTGCCAGTTCGAGGGTCGAGCACCAGCCGCCGCAGCAGCCGCCGCAGTCGTCGCCGCTGGTCTCCGCTCTTCGCCTGCTCGGCCTTCCCTCCCCTGACCGCTCGCCGGTGTCTCCCCCACCTCCTCCTCACCTTCCTGTCTATGGCCCTGTGTTCCCGCCCCCAGACTCTTCTCCGGCCCGTCTTCCTCCTCGTTCCCCCCTTGTGTCCCCTCCGCTGTCTCCTGACCCTACACCTCTGTCCCATGTTTGGTCTCGCCGTCCCTCCCGTGCTCGTCCCGTCTCCCCTGTCCCGCGTTCCCATCCTATGTTACTCCGTTCTCACTCGTCTCGTCCTCCCCTCCTCCCCTCGCCTCCTCCCTCATCGCTCGTTGTTGCACCTCCCCCGCTGTCTGACTACTTCCGTGCCGCTAGTCCCCTTGTCCCTCGGGTCCTTGCCTCTCTTGTTACAGACCCGTCTGTTCCTGTCGCCTGCCTTGACGCGCTTGTTGCTGATGTCGCTGACTTCGCCTCTACCCGCCGCCTTGACTACGCTACCGCTCTGGTCTCTGACCCTGCCCGTCCTGCGTCCGTCGGGGGTGCACCTGCCCTTGGCAGTGACGTACTAGAGGACAGGCAGTACGAGATTGCTTTCCTTTCCGAGGCCGCTCCCCATCTCTGCTCCATGCTGTTAGTCCCTGAGGGTGACCCAAACGCCTTCGACATCCCGACCCCTCGCACCTACGCTGAGGCCACCTCGGGACCCTGGGCCTCTCAGTGGATAGCTGCCATGGAGCAGGAGATGGCATTTTGGAGGTCCACCGGCACTTACGTCGACGCAGTTCCCCCAGCTGGGGTGAAAGTAGTCTATGGTCGGTGGCTCTTCAAGGTGAAGCGCCCCCCTGGAGAGCCGCCTGTCTTCAAGGCGCGCTATGTGGCCAGAGGCTTCAGCCAGCGCGAGGGGGTTGACTTCTTCCAGACCTTCGCCCCAACCCTGAAGATGACCACTCTTCGCGACAACGAGATTCACTCTCTCGACTTCTCTACTACCTTTCTTCAGGGCAGCCTACACGAGCAGGTCTACCTGCGTCGACCTCAGGGCTTCACTGGTACCTTCCCCCTTGGGAACCAGTGGCTTCTCCGGCGCCCGGTCTACGGCCTGCGTCAGGCTCCTCGCGAGTGGCACGACATGCTGTGTGCCACGTTAGCAGACCTGCAGTTCTTTCCGTCCTCTGCTGACCCCTCGCTGTTTGTGCGTTCCGGCCAGACTCTGTTCTACATCCTTGTCTACGTAGACGACCTGGTCTTTGCTACTGCTGACAGGGACGCACTGTCGTCTGTGAAGGCCGAGCTGCTGAAGAGACACACCTGCACTGACCTTGGAGAGCTGCGTCGCTATCTTGGCCTGCAGATCTCCAGGGACAGAGAAGCACGCACCATCACTCTGACACATTCACACTTGGTGCGTCAGGTCCTTCAGAGGTTCGGTCTTCAGTTCTCCTCCGCACAGCCCACACCTCTACCTGTAGACCATGGGCTCTCCGCTCCCGTTCCAGAGGAGCCAGTAGAGCCCAGTGGACCCTACGCAGAGCTGGTGGGTTGCCTCATGTACCTGATGACTTGCACTCGCCCAGATCTTGCACACTCTTTCAGTATCATGGCTCGCTTTGTGGCCACTGGTAGACACCGGCCACAGCACTAGTCGGCGGCTAAGAGGGTTTTGCGATATCTAGCAAGTACATCGGGCATGGGGTCAGTGCTAGGAGGACGCAGGCCGGTGGTCCTCACTGGGCACACAGACGCTTCTTGGGCAGACGACTCTGAGACTCTCAGGTCGTCTCAGGGCTACTGTTTTAGTCTTGGTTCGGGTGCTATCTCTTGGAGATCCACTCGCTCGTCGTCTGTTGCTCAGTCCAGCTTTGAGGCTGAGATCTACGCTGGTGCCATGGCGGCACAGGAGCTCCGCTGGCTGACCTTCTTGCTCACTGACTTAGGTGAGCAGCCTAGCTCTGCCCCGGTCCTGTACGCTGACAACAGGGCCATGATCCTCCTGTGTCAGGAGCCTCGGCTTGAGGGCAGAGCGAAGCATATCCAGCTGCGGTACTTCCTCCTGCGCGAGCTAAAGCAGCGTCGCCAGGCCTGTGTAGTTCACTTGGCCTCCGGTGCCAACACAGCTGATATCTTTACTAAGGCGCTTGCGCCTAAAGATCATCAGCGGCACTGCGTACAGCTTGGTCTTGTTCCTATAGCTACTTAGTTGTTAGGACCTGATTGTGTATTCTCTACTATATATACATGTCTGACTGGCCTTGTGGCCTTCCTTCCAGTGGCTGGACTAGTAGTGCCGCCCTGGCTTGCTTTTGTCTTATCTCTACTCTTGCTGACTGGTCTTTGGACCCTTGCCTTAGTGGTTGGACTAGTAGTGCCACCCTGAGCTGTGTGCTTCTTGCTTTCACCACCCCTTCTCTAGCCTAGGGGGTGTGTCAACTCATACATGTTATACATGTAGAAGTTATAGGCTAGTATCGGTGTATGCTCCTAGTGAGTACAACCCAACTGCTATATGTGTCATGTTTTCCCTTCTAGTAATTCATTCACGTACTCTAACACTGGCTTGGTATCGAAATGCGACCCTGAATTTGTTTTCTTGGCGGTCAGACACAGCCTGGTAGTGGGTATTCGACGTTTCCCGTTTCCGAAATAAGGGTGTTGGGCTGAGAAAAAGCCCTTAGGATCTTTTGCAGAGACTAAGTCCCAGCTTGTAGAGACTTGAGACTTGGAGTAGTGCAGCGGAAGTTGAGGCAGTTGAACCCTTGTACTAGTATGTGAGAACAAGTGATTGATTAAAGAAACAAGCATACAGCAATATATAGAAGATAAGAAAGCAGTTGTAGAATACAGTTACAGGAACGGTTTATCGAGTCGCACAGCGACTCGATTGCCGCTTCGGTTACCATCCGTGATGTTGTAACGGTCAGTCGCAACCTCCAGTTGCGACCTTTCGAGTCCTTTCGCATTCTTTGTCCGCCCCCTCGTGTAACCTCCGTTGACTCGCGTGCTCCCCTGTAATCTTCCTCGAGTACAGTGTTACACTTCAGAAACGCTTAAGTCCTTGAGATATTTCCAACACTCCCCTTCGTTTCTGGAGTGCTGGAGTGTTCAGATCCGGTGACGTTTGTTTGCCCGGTTAGGAGCATGCAGTAGTCGAATTTTGCTTTCGCCAATTTCTTCGTCAGATAATCTGCGGCCATTTCTGTCGTCGGGCAGTAACTGAGTTGAAGTCTCCCCTTCGCGATTTCATCCTTGACGAAGAAGTACCGCAGGGCGATGTGCTTGGTTCGGTTGGCGAAGCCGTCCTTGTTCGCGATTTTGATCGCAGATTGGTTGTCGCAGAGGAGTGAGAAGGCGGGCAGGGTCGCGATCTTCGCTTCTTCGAGTAACTCTCGTAGGTAGAGTCCTTCCTTGGTCGCAGTACAAAGGGCGATATACTCTGCTTCAGCCGAGGATAGTGCGATTAACTCCTGCTTGCTCGACTGCCAGGAGATAGTTCCGATAGGTTCTAGTCGGTAGATGTAGCCCGTCCTAGACCGTCGATTTTCGCTGTCTCCCGCGTGGTCGGCGTCGACGTATCCGAGTAGTTGTACGGACGGTGTTGTTGTCTTGCTGTAGGTGAGCCCGATCGTCGGCGTGGAGACGAAGTAGAGTAGCGCTCGATTGAGTTCTTCGAGATCTTCCTGTTGCGGCTGCTTCAGATGTGTCGCCAGCTGACTCGCACTATAGGATAGGTCGGGTCGGCAGGTTACTGCTGCGAATAGTAGGCAGCCGAGCTTCTGTTGATACTCCTGGATTTGTTTCGCGGGGAGTTTTGTGGAGGCGCTACTGTTGTTCCCGTAGCGGTAGGGAGTTGGGACCGCAGTCGGTGCTAGACCGAATTTCTTCGCGACGGTGCTTGAGTACTTTCCAGCGTGTAGGTAGAACGCCGTGTCGTCTTCGACGATGTTCAGTCCTAGGTACTGAGTAACTTCGTCGGACACCGTGAGAGTTAAATCTTCTTTCAGCTCCCCTTCGAACCAGGTGGCGATGTCGATAGTGGAGCCGATGTAGAGCAGGTCGTCGACGTAGACGATGAGCAGAACATAATCTCTTCCCTTCTGCAGTCGGTACATCCCTTGGTCATGCGGTAATTGTAGGAAGCCGATCTTTGCGAGACGGCCGTGGAGATGCTGTTGCCAGAGCCGCGGGGCTTGCTTGATCCCGTATAGGGATTTTGTCAGTCGGCATATTTTCGTGGGATCGTTGATGAATCCGTGGGGTTGTTCGACGAAGATCTCAGCGTCCACAGGTGCGTATAGGAATGCATTTGCGACATCGATTTGGCGTAGTGGCAGTTTTTTCTGTTAGGATTAAGGACGGAGTCTAGGTGAACTTAGGAGCTAGAATTACTCAAAATATAAATCCGAAATTCTGGACAGAAAAGTCGTCTTCACAAGAAACGACGTCGACGAAAAACTAGCCGTTGGAATGTCGCGAAACTCGGATATGTTGTAGCTCTTAATCTCAGCTACCGTTCCCAATTTGAATCACGTTAATTAATGAAGTATTCGCAACGCTATAGCTTTCGACGCATTAGGGGGTAAGCTGTAGGAGGAGAACTTAACTCAATCTCAAAAGTTCAATCAAAGTTCAAGAATCTCACAAGGAATTAGAAGGAGCAAGAGAAAGGTTGGGATAGATGGAGAGGGACGAGAGGGAAGGTCCCAAGAGAGTCCCCAACCAAGGAAACCCCATAAGCACAAAGATTCCCTCCCTATAGGAACCTCAACTTTGACCTTTGTCCCTTCCCAACCAATCCATCCAAGTTGGCCACCCTTGCCAACCTAGCTTGGTTGTTCCCAACCAATTTGCAGCTGTTACAGTAGAGTGACAAATTTCCCCAACCCCAAAGGTCCCAACTCCATATAAAGTCACCCCACAACTTCACTTTGTAACCGCCGCAATTGTAACGCAAGCTCATGAACTTTGAATCTTCATAGCTTTCGCGTTCTTGCTCCGATTGAAGCGATTCTTGTTGCGTCGGAAAGATCTTCTCAAGATCTATCATCACAAATACCTGCTCAGACAGAATAACACAAAACACATTCCCAAACTCCAGAACACACCACACACAAATTCTTTCACACACAGTCAAACCATACATACGAATTGAAACAAGAGATGAGAGGCAGACAGAATGTGATAGCATATGATGACATCACACAACAATCTCCCCCTCTGGCTGCCAACCATCATCCACCATACCACATCTCAAGCATGCATACTCAATGCACACTCATCCCAGCAAGCTTCATGCCCTTCCAATGATCCGCCTCCGCCAGACGCTTAGTGAAAATATCTGCTGCCTGCTGATGGGTCTTCACTATCTCCAGCCGCACCTCCTTATCAAGGATTCTCCTCACCCAATGCCACTTAGGCCTTATGTGTTTTGTCAGCCCATGCAGACAAGCATTCTTGGCCAGCTTCACTGCAGACTCATTGTCACAGAACACAACTGTCGGCTCCTCCTGACCAACTCCCAACTCCTCCAACAAACGCCTCAGCCATACCACTTCCTTGGCCCCATGGTGTAAGGCCATGTACTCAGTCTCACATGAAGACAATCCCACCTCATTTTGCTTCTTGCTGCGCCAGCTCACAGCACCACCTCCTAGCAAGCACACATAACCCCCAATGCTGGTGCCATCCGCTTTCACTGAGTTGAAGCTAGCGTCAGTATAGCAACTCAAGAGCATTTCGCCACTCTTCACATCTGCGGCACCTCTCTGCAACCGCTGCCTCACTCCACTGTACTCCAATCCCACTGATGCCGTAGCACTCACATAGCGGACCAACCTCTTGGCCGCTTCCAGCTGCTCATGACTAGGACGTGAAACCACGCTAGCCAGTCGTGATGTAGCAAATGCAATGTCAGGCCGTGTATGATTTGCAGCATAATTCAGCGACCCAACCATCGAATGAAACAGCTTCCTGTCACTATCACCCACTACCTCCTCATCAGCACATGGCTCAACAGTGAACCCCGAAGGTAGTGGTGTTGCTGGCTTTCCCCCATCTTGCAGCCCATACTTTTCAGCCAGCCCCTCACAGTACTTCCTCTGGTGCAACCTCAGCACACCTTTCTCCACATCTCTCTCCACATGCATCCCCAAGTAGTACTTCACCTCACCCATCTTGGAACACTTGAACTGCATCTCTAGCATCTGCTCTGCGCTGTCCAGCAAAGCAGTTGATGCAGAAAAGAGAAGGATATCATCCACGTACACCAAGAGCATGAGGATTTCATCCTTCTCCTGCAGCAGGAACAGGCTGGGGTCACACTCACTCTTCTTGAAACCCCCAGCCAACAGCGCCTCCTCCAACTTGTGATACCATGCACGAGGCGCCTGCTTAAGGCCATAGATGGCCTTCTTCAGCCTGCAGACCCTGCCGCTCCCATCATCCAGCCCCTCTGGCTGCTTCATGTACACCTCCTCCAGAATGATCCCATTCAGAAAGGCAGTCACAATGTCCATCTGCCGTATCTTCCATCCCAGGAGTGCAGCTATCGCCAACAGCACCCTCAGTGTTGTTCCTTTCCCCACAGGAGCAAACACCTCATCATAGTCCTTCCCCTTTGTCTGCTGAAACCCCCGTGCCACAAGCCTAGACTTGTAGCGGGTCAGCTCCCCTTCAGGTCCATACTTGTGCCTGTAGATCATCTTGGAAGTGATTGCCTTCTTCCCAGGAGGCAAGTCACACAGGTCCCATGTCTCGTTTTCAATCAGGGACCCGAACTCCTCATCCTCACTCGCCTTCCACTTCTCCCCATTTGGTCCATTCAAGGCCTCCTCTCGAGTCTTGGGCTCAGGGATTGGTGCCCAGTAGCAGTGAGCGATCTCATCTTCCTCAATCTGCTCAACCACGCTCCCAGCCTGCACCACATTTGGCTTGCCTCTTCCCCCATAGGTCAGCCTCACCGGAGGGCGCACATCCCTCCTAGGTCGCTCAGGCGGGTGTGGAACTCGAGGTGGAGACTCATGCTGCTGCTGCTGCTCCTGCTGCTGCTGCTGCTCCACTTCAGCTGCTCCCCCTTCCTCAGTCACCCCAGACATCTCCTCCTCTGACACTGCAACCTCCACCTGTCTTGAAGGCTGCTGCACCTCATCTGCCTCCACAATGAGCGGTGTAGATGGAAGCTTCTGTTGCTGCTGCTTCCATTCCTTGTAGTACAGGGACTCAAGAAACTTCACATCCCTTGACACTGTCAACTTCTGGGTGGTCAAGTCCCATAGCAGCCACCCCTTGTGATCCTTTGCAATCCCCAAGTGCACACCCCATCTTCCAGAAGCCTCCAACTTCCCCCTTTTCTCCTTGGGCACATGAAACACCACCATGCACCCAAATGCCCTCAGCATGTTCACAGCTGGAGCACTCCCATACCACTTGACATATGGGATCCACTCCTTATCTCCAACTGTAGCCAGCACCCTGTTCTTCACAAGGGCGACCTGCCTCAGTGCAGACACCCAAAACGGATCAGGCAGCCCTGCACGCCCAAGGAGAGTGCGTGCCCCCTCCTGCAGGGTCCTGTTGAACCTCTCAGCCACGCCATTCTGCTGTGGGTTGTAGGGCACTGTCAGTTGATGCTGGATCCCCTTCCTCTTCAACTCCCCCTCAAAATCAGCTCCAATGAACTCCCCACCATTGTCACTACGGATCACCTTCACCTTGTGTCCGCATTCCCTCTGAGCTCTAGGCATCCACTCCTTAAGGACAGCCGCTGCCACCTCCCCCTTGCTCTTCAAAGGGTAAACCCACACTGCCCGAGTGTGGTCATCTACAATTGTCAAGAAATAGCGGCTGCCTGAGAGGGAAGGGGCTCTTGTGGGCCCCACCACATCCATGTGCACAAGTGCAAGTGGGGTCTTGGCTGGTCCTGTAGTGCTGTTGAAGGGGAACTTGGAGAACTTGGTCTCCAAGCATGTAGGACAGCTCCCAATCTCCTTCACTTCCCCTTTCACCTCCAAGCCCTTCAGGCTCCCATTCTTCACCAACTTCTGCAGCATAGGGAAGTTCACATGACACAACCTCTCATGCCATGTCTCCCAATCGGCCTCTCCACTCCTTGATGAAGCCTTAGCCCATGCCGCACTCGCATCCACACCAGCAAGCACCTCACCATGTGTCTGCTGCTTCTGCACTTTCTTGACTGCTTCCAGGACCCCATCATTTGGTGCAGTTGCATCTCCTCCTGCTGTTGCCTTTGCCGCTGCTGCCGTTGCTGCTGTTGGAGTCTTCCCATTCCATGGGATGATGGGCAGCTGCCACAGGTCCTTGATGCAGCTGGTCTCCTCTTCCAGACTCCACAGCACCTTCTTCCCAAGCTTAGCACGGCAGCTGGTTGGTCCAAAGGTCACTTCGGCCTTGCTCTTCTGCAGTCGCCGCACAGAGAGAAGGTTAGCAGACAAACCTTCAACTAGCAGAACATTCCCAAGCCCCACAAGCTCCCCATTAGCTCCCTTAACCTTGGCATTCCCAACGCCAATCACAGGGAGCAAAGCACCTGACGCTGCTGCCACATACTTGATCTTCCCAGGGGGTTTTACCTCATCAAGCAAATCTGCCCGTGGGGTCATGTGACTGATGCAACCCGAATCAATCACCCAGTGCATGAGAGGGTGCATCACAACCTTTCCCACAGATCCCACATCACCCTCATGCCCATGCACATCCTCAACCATAAGAAACAAACCAGGATAGGCATTACCTTGTGCACCTTCACCTTGTGCACCTGAGCCTTGCACAGCGCCACCTTGTGCGCGTTCACCACTGGGCGGCTTCATGCCTGGAGGTGCCCATCCCTCCGGCCTGCTGAAGCACTTGAACCAAGGATGCCCGACCTTCTTGCAGTACCAGCAGGTGCCCTCCATTCTGGTACTCCCCCTGCCACTGGAGCTTCCATGCCCCTCATTATAGTCACCTCGGCCTCTACCTCTGCCAAAGCTCCTCCCACGGCCTCGGCCTCTCCAACCCCCTCTTCCTTTGCCGCGCCCTGCAGCTCCATACCCCTCAGCAGTCTTAGTGGCAGCACCGCCTCCCATATGGCGTCTGCGGAAGTCCTCCTGCAGAATCTGCTGCCTTAGCCACTCAGGTGTCCATTGATCTTGCTGAGAGTTGAGGGTGGGGATGAGGTTGTCCCAAGAGTTGTCCAACACCGAGATGATCTTGGTGCACTGCTGCAGCTGAGATACACTACTGCCCGCTGCTGCCATCCTTGCATAGGTGTCCTTGATCTTGTCAAGGACCGGCTTCACATCGTCCCCTGGTCGCATGGAGATGGCAGCAAGTTCCTTCTCGAGCACGATCACCATTGGGAGAGTGTTGGGCTGAATCACATCACGTAGTAGTTTCCACGCCCTTGGACCCGAATCATCCGCTTCCACAAGATCCTTGATGTGCTCGAACATCTCCTTGTTGACCGATTGAAGGATGAGGTCGAAAAGCACCGCGCTTTTCTCAATCCACCGTTCGCGTGCTTCGCCTTCTTCCGGCATCTTCTCTTCCCCAACAGCAATCTTCAGTAGCTTGTAGCGTTTGAAGGCACTCCTCATCCGTCCGCTCCATTCCTCATAGTTGGAGCCATCCAAAGCTTCAACTTTTGATGGCGGCGGCTCACTTGTCTTCTCAGCTACAGCTCCTCTTCCATTAGCATCTCCTCCTCTCTCATTCATCTTCTCCTTGAGAAATGACGAATTTCAGCTCCCCTTTGCTGTCCACACTCAGCTCCCTCGATATTTTCACAAGTATCGGCGTCCACGAAATTTCGGCAGAGTTTCCCCTTAGCGGAAGACACATCCAACCTTTAGAACACCACTTAGGCACACCCACAGGCCATGGTGGGTCTAGAAGGGTCTTCACACTTCTGTAGACTCCTCTCAATGTCCTTAATATGGCTCTGATACCACTTGTTAGGATTAAGGACGGAGTCTAGGTGAACTTAGGAGCTAGAATTACTCAAAATATAAATCCGAAATTCTGGACAGAAAAGTCGTCTTCACAAGAAACGACGTCGACGAAAAACTAGCCGTTGGAATGTCGCGAAACTCGGATATGTTGTAGCTCTTAATCTCAGCTACCGTTCCCAATTTGAATCACGTTAATTAATGAAGTATTCGCAACGCTATAGCTTTCGACGCATTAGGGGGTAAGCTGTAGGAGGAGAACTTAACTCAATCTCAAAAGTTCAATCAAAGTTCAAGAATCTCACAAGGAATTAGAAGGAGCAAGAGAAAGGTTGGGATAGATGGAGAGGGACGAGAGGGAAGGTCCCAAGAGAGTCCCCAACCAAGGAAACCCCATAAGCACAAAGATTCCCTCCCTATAGGAACCTCAACTTTGACCTTTGTCCCTTCCCAACCAATCCATCCAAGTTGGCCACCCTTGCCAACCTAGCTTGGTTGTTCCCAACCAATTTGCAGCTGTTACAGTAGAGTGACAAATTTCCCCAACCCCAAAGGTCCCAACTCCATATAAAGTCACCCCACAACTTCACTTTGTAACCGCCGCAATTGTAACGCAAGCTCATGAACTTTGAATCTTCATAGCTTTCGCGTTCTTGCTCCGATTGAAGCGATTCTTGTTGCGTCGGAAAGATCTTCTCAAGATCTATCATCACAAATACCTGCTCAGACAGAATAACACAAAACACATTCCCAAACTCCAGAACACACCACACACAAATTCTTTCACACACAGTCAAACCATACATACGAATTGAAACAAGAGATGAGAGGCAGACAGAATGTGATAGCATATGATGACATCACACAACATTTTCGTGGCCGCGACGGCGAGTAGGATGCGTAATGAGGTGTGACGGGAGACTGGAGCGAAGGTTTCTGTGTAGTCGGCTCCGTATCGTTGGTCGAAGCCTCGTACGACCCATCGAGCTTTGAATCGTTCGATGGAACCGTCTGAGTTGGTCTTGATGCGGTACACCCATTTCCCCGAGAGAACGTTTTTTCCGTTGATGCTCGTTGCAGGTACCAGTTTCCATGTTTCTCGGTCTTGCAGAGCTTTTAACTCCTTTTCCATTGCTTCCTTCCATCTTGCCTTATGTTCCCCCCCCAGAGCCTGCGACAACGTTGAAGGCTCTCGCGGAGAAGGCGGCGGCGGATTCTGGACGGAGACCCAGAGGCCTAGAATCTGGAGTCCCGTGGGCGTGTGTCGAGGGGAATTTTCATTCCCGGAATAAGCTGCTTCGTCACCGTCTTCGGGGTCAGGTAAGAAATTGGGGCCGATGCGTTCCGAAATATTCGTGTCGACGGGGTGAGGTGTAGCGTAACCTTGGTCGGCGAAGTGGTAAAAGGTGTCGAGGTTGTTGCTATCGAGGGGATTTTCTTCATCGAGTGGAACAGGTGCGGAACAGAATGGGAGTGGTCCGGCAGCTTCCGAGGCTCCAGGTACGTCTTCTTCTGCTGCGTCAGCCTCGGCAGTATGGTCAGCGAAGGAGCGAAGGCCCGCGAAGCCGTCGGTGGGGTCTTGTGTGTTGGCAAGGTTGTCCAGGTAATGCTGCAGCGTCAGTCGTTCGTAGAAGATAACATCGCGTGATGCCACCGTGTTTTTGTCTTGTATGTCGAGAATTTTCCACGCGTGAAAATGTTTTGCGATGCCGAGGTGTAGTCCCCATCGAGCTCTTTGTGAGAAGCGTCCTGCTCGGGCTGTGTGGGGTCTGTACTGTACCATGCAGCCGAAAACGCGGAGTAATTTTGTGCTGCCCCTTTTTCTTGTCCACAACAGGTGCGGTGATGCGTTGTTGGGAAGTGATGACGAAGACAGCAGGTTGTGCAGGTGAACAGCATGTGTCATCGCGTCTGGCCACAGTGCGTTGGGCAGCCTCATCCCCAGAAGCAGTTTTCGCATCGTCGTCTGCAAGGTCCGGTTCATGCGTTCTGCTACCCCCTGCTGCTGGTGAGCATAGGGCAGAGACACCAGGCGTCGGATTCCCCTTTCCGCGAGATAGGTCCTGAAGCGTTGTGACTGGTATTCCAGTGCACCGTCTGACTGGAAACTCTTGAGTTTGGTTCCTGACTCTCGTTCGGCGATTGGAAGCCATGTGGTGAAGGCCTCGAAGGCTTGATCGCGCGTTTTGAGATTGAAGTGCCAGACGTATCTGGTTGCGGCGTCGATGAACGTGATGACGTAGTTGAAGTCGGCTTCGGTGTCGTCTCGAGGCATGTTTAGAATATCGCTGTAGACTTTTTCCATCGGAGCGTAAGTGGGTGCGCTTGGATTGTGATGGGCTTGGAAAGGTTGATGAGGAAGATCTGCTTCGGGGCATGTGAAACACCGTGCGCGTGGTCGTCGGAGTTCCTGGCCGTTCGTCGTCAGAAGGGCGTTGCGTTCTAACACCTCTGCTTGGATTGTTTGAAGTATCGTGCTGTTTGCAGGATGTCCGAGACGTTGGTGCCAGATGTCGTCGGGAGCGCGGTGGCCGGGCGAGCGGTGGTAGATGTCGGCGTTGGAGAAGAACGCGACGACTGAGGCGGGACTTCGACAAGCTTCTCGTGTGGCGGGCATAAGTTGGTCTGCTTCCGTTGGCGGTCCTCGTGTTGATGGTGGTGGTACTCGGCTGGGTCCTGCTGCTGATACTGCAGGTGATGGTTTTGTTGGGACACTTGCGGGTACTTGTCTTTCTTGTCTGATAACTGCTAATGCTCGTGTTCTCTCTGCTGCAGGTATGGTGTTGGAGTGCCAGAAGCCGTCACTGTCGAAGTCGGGGTCAAGATCCGGCGGGTGAGTCCAGGCGGCGAACGATACGATGCCATCGCTGTCGGCAGTTCCGCGGTCGGGGACGAAGTCCAACACGAAGACACCGGACTTCAGGAGGGCACGACCGATGAAGAGGCCGCCCTTCCCGTGGTAAAGCCGGAACTCGTTGGAGTAAGAGTCGCACTCCAGGTGAATCCCCTTGGCCATTAGTTGGCTTACGCTTAGTAGGTTGTATCCCAGATTGTCGACAATGAGCACCTTGTTGAGTTGAAGTATGACATTCGTCTCCATTGATTGTAACTGAACCACGCCCTGTCTGTTTGTCTTCAGGTTTTCGTTGTTGGCGACGGTGATGACGACGTCGCGGTTGAGTCGTTTCTCCTGTTGTACGAAGCGTCCTGAGGAGCACATGTGTTGTCCGCAGCAACTGTCCAAGAACCAGGTGTTTCGCCCGGTGGGTTCGGCGTTGGCGACCGCAGCGTATGTCGGGTTGACCTGAAGTCCTTGTGAGCGCGGCGGCGGGAATTCCTCTTCGTCTGGTGCGTAAGTGGGTGGTGATCTGGGTGCGCAGTTGTCGATGTGTACCATGCAGTTGATGATATTTGGTGTCCCTTGTGCAGATGTTGAAGAGCGCCTTGGGGAACTTGCTTGAGTGGAAGCAACTTGTGGGTCTGCTGCTCGGTAAACGCGAGGGCGGTTGCAGTTGACTTTGGAGTGTCCGGAAGTCTGGCAGTTGTGGCAGAACGGCGGCACGATGGTGAGTCCTCGGTTGTCGCGTTGATCTTGCTTGCTGCGTCGGTTGTAGTTTATGTCATTTCTTCTTTGAGTGTAGAAGACTAACTGCTGTTGCTTCCTTGGTTGTCTTTCCTCGAACAGATCCATCTCCTGTTGTTCAGCGTGAAGCTCGGCGCAGAGGTGCATCTCCGAGATCCTTCCGTGGGCGCGAAGAAGCGATCGTGTGGTTCTCCATTCTGGTCCGAGCCCGGCGAGGACAAGTGTGACGAAGCTTTCTTCAGTGATCGTTCCTCCGCACCGAAGCAGGCGGTCGCGCAGGGTCTGGCAGCGACTCATATACTGCATCGCCTTTTCCCCGGTCTTCATCTGTATTGTTGTCAGCTGTTGCATGAGTCTGCTTTGTGTCACGCTGTCGTTTGCTTGGTAGAGGCATTTGAGATGATGCCATGCGAGTTCCGCGGAGTTTCCATAACTCCGATACGTTCTGATGCTCTGCTGCTCTTGTGGTGACAGGTTCCGCAGGAGGACTGTATACGCCAGTAGCGACTGATACGTGAAGATCTCTTGTTCCTTTCCAGTGCCGTTGCTTGGGAATGGCAGGGACCCGTTGAAGTATCCCAGAAGATGCGCGGCCTCCATCAGCAGCTCGAACTCGAAGCTCCAGGTAAAGAAGTCGTGTCCGTTGAACGGTGAGGATGTTTGTAACTTGATGACGTGTGAGAATTGAGCTTGAAGACTGAGAATCTCGTTTGGTGTTTGTTGTGATGCAGCTGCTGTTGGTTGGGCGCGGGGCGGCATGAACTCGAACGTCCCCGGTGAAGAATGATAAGGCGCAAAGGTAGGTGCTTGGTTGTGTCGCCCGAAGGATGAGTTGTCGAGGCTCATCGGCGCTAATCCCATGTTTCCTCCATTGCTCTGTGTTGAATGCGCAGGTGTCCTTGTCTGCTGTTGCTGGTCGAAGTGTGACATGAAGCTGAAGAATCTCTCCATGAGATTCGGGTCCACACTTGAAGAGGGAGACGGAGTCACCATCTCTGGTACTCTTCCTGTTGTTTCTTGAGCAGTCCCGGTCTCTGTCTGCAATCCTGAGGTGTGCAGACCAGAGTTGCCGTGTTGAGTTTCTTGGCCGCTGGGTGAGCCCGTAGAGGCTTTCTTGCCCTTGCTGTCCATGTCTTGTAATCAATGAAGTCGTTGAATTGAGTTGAGTTGCAGTTTGTTGATGGAGCGTAGTTGCTGGGAGTTTGATCTCTGACCAGCTCTCATACCATGTTGGGCTGAGAAAAAGCCCTTAGGATCTTTTGCAGAGACTAAGTCCCAGCTTGTAGAGACTTGAGACTTGGAGTAGTGCAGCGGAAGTTGAGGCAGTTGAACCCTTGTACTAGTATGTGAGAACAAGTGATTGATTAAAGAAACAAGCATACAGCAATATATAGAAGATAAGAAAGCAGTTGTAGAATACAGTTACAGGAACGGTTTATCGAGTCGCACAGCGACTCGATTGCCGCTTCGGTTACCATCCGTGATGTTGTAACGGTCAGTCGCAACCTCCAGTTGCGACCTTTCGAGTCCTTTCGCATTCTTTGTCCGCCCCCTCGTGTAACCTCCGTTGACTCGCGTGCTCCCCTGTAATCTTCCTCGAGTACAGTGTTACACTTCAGAAACGCTTAAGTCCTTGAGATATTTCCAACAAAGGGCATTCGTTATTGCGTCTGGATTGCCCCACTCTTCACTATTCCCAGCGATTCCTGCAAAAAAATTGGAAGACACATCGACCGGCTGTTGGCACGATTTCGCCCGAGTCAGCAGCTAGGTGCCCTTTCCTCATGCCGTATTCCAGCCTTCCTTATTCTGGTGATCGGTACGCACCTCTATTCCAGGAGGTTTGGTGTGATTAAAAATATTGGTTGGCTTTAAGCCTACACCATCCTTATTCCAGAATACGGCCAACCGATCAGGGCCTCTGTAGCAAATTCCTCATTAGCAGTTGCTTGGTGAAGTTCTGGCCTCAAA